TCTGTCAAAAACGTGCATGACTACACACACACACACACACACATACGACATTAATAACTATATATATATATATATATATATATATATATATATATATATATATATATATATACCTAACTATCATTCCATACTCCCTTTGTCCCATATTAGACGTCCGTGTTTAGAAATTGGAGTTTTTAAGGGGACATGCAATTAATGCATTGTCTATTTTTAAAATTACCAACTTGTCCTTTTTAGTTTAGATATGTATAGTTACCAAGTTTGAAATTTTTTGAAAATATAAAGGACAATGATGGAAAGATAAAGCTAATTTGTTTTGACATTTCAAAATGAACGACTAATTTGGGACGTCTAAAAATGAGATAATGGACTACTAATATGGGACAGAGGTAATAATAATAATAATAATAAAAATAATAACAATCTATCCTTATATATATATATATATACATAAACTAATATCCATAGGTAATCCTCCATACCCATCAAGCCTCCTACCCAAGTAGTCCATGTGACCCATGTGGTTGGTCCATTACTAGTATCCAAATCCATTTCCTTTAAAGTAAAATAAAAAATAACAATTTAATTCCTAACAAATAAATACAAATAATCACATCGCATTTAAATAATTATTTTCATACCAACAATAAATTAAAATACACAATTTAAACACATAATTAAAACAACCAATCAATTCAAGTAAACAAATAATAATTACCCACGTAATCAAATAATCAAATAAAAATGCAATAAAATAAATAAATAAATCCCGAGACTATCCTTCTAAAATTAGGGGTATTACAACGTTGCTAGGTTTCGATTCGGCGAGAACGGCTCAATATGGGAAGGGTTGTTATGTGCAAGAAGAAGATTTTAGGCTCTGAGCAAAATTACGTAGCTAATTGTTGCGTACATGGTCGTAACACAGCGATTGACCAGCTACAATTTCTTCTCCAAGGACACCTTCGACCTCCTGTACAAGATCTCCGTTGGTGACGCCTTCACCTTCTTCTCTACCTGCAATGCCTACAACATATATATATATATATATATATATATATATATATATATATATATATATATATATATATAAAATATAGTATGAAGATCCCAATTGTTGACATCACACACACACAAACGCGCGCGCGCACACACACACACACATAGCCCTAGTAATTATTGTATACATCGGAATCGCATCACCGCTGTGCCATTGTCATGGATAGTCGTCGGAGCCCAATCTAATCTCCTTGGTCATCTCCGTCACTGGAGCCCAAGAGAGACTTATAGAAGTTTCGAACGAACCAATCTTTTCTCATCCTGATCATCTCATCAACTGTGAATATTTTCATCAAATTCTTTAAGCCAAAGGTTGTAGGTGTCTCAACCGCCATCTTTTTTGTCACCGCCTGTGGAATAAGTGGCAAAAATTCTTAAATATGGTTGGGTTTGGCAGTTTTTGGATTGTGGTTTTTTTTAGGCATGTTTGGTCCAAAAAAAAAAAAAGTGTTTTGATTTTTACCATTAAAAAAAATAAAATATTAAAGGGCAATTTTGACATTTCATAACTTTTTAGGGGCTATTTGGATTGAATTTCTTACAAGGGGTGTCTTTGTTAAAAAAAGGCCTAATTTATATATGTCTATCATTATAGTAAACCTCAGGGGTGTCATTGTAATTAACCCTGATAAATTGCACTGAAAGCCCTGAGGTTTTGGTCAACACCACTCAGCGGACGGTCAATGACTTTTTTTATATTGACACCACCTGAGGTTTCAAAAATGAACATTGACACCCTTTCAGACCTCTTAAACCATATAAAATTACCTTTTAACCCTTTGACTTGTCAACAACTCAGTTTAAATAATGAAATTACAAATTTAAACTCCTAACTAATTTAATAGACCAAACTAGTATTTTCATCTCTTCTATAGATATAGATATAGTTTATATTTAACAATACTTATACCACCATAACCACCACCACGTACAACATAAAAAGAAAACAGAAAAAAGAAAATTAATTTTTTAAAAATAGCTAGATAACTGTACACTACATAATCACCACCATCACACCCAAACACAACATTAGAAAAAAATTAAAAACAACCATGACCAACCCATACGTATACATCCAAAATGCCACCAGAACCACCACCACACCAAAACACCACCACCACCACCACAATAAGAAAATAATATTTTTGAAACATCTTAATGACCAAGACACCACCATAACTACTACAACCACACTTAAACACCACCACAACAACCACCACCATAGTAGGAAAAAAATTAAAGACATCCATGGCTAGCCAGACCCACCACAAGAAAAAAAAAACAGTTATGTCCAATTCAGACACCAATTCTCTTCTTTCCTATTACACCCGCTTTCCTTCCCTTAATCATCTCAATCATAAATCCAATACCACCACAACCACCACACCGCAACATTTTTCTCACAAATTCTGCAAATTAACTTGCCGTAGCCACCATCTCCTCCACCGCCAGTTACGTTTTCCTCCATCAGCCACCAATAGCTCCTTGACCGACAAGAAGAATGACGATGGTTGCAATTTATCAAAAAAATAAAATAAATAACATAGTAAGAAAGAGGGAATGTGAGAAATTAAGAAGAAAGAGAGGGAGTGTCGACGACTAGGTACTAAAATGAACCAAAAAAAAAAAAAAAAAGGGTTAGAGATTAGGGTAAAGAAAGAGGCTTAATGATAAGGGTAGTTTCGTCAATTAATAGAGCTGATATTTTGTAAATTAATTGAATTAAATAATCAGGAGCAAATATGACATTTGAAACCACAGGGGGTGTCATTGTTAAAAAAGTCGTTGACCCGTATCTGAGTGACATTAACTGAAATCTCGGAGGCTGTCAATGCAATTTACCCAAAAATAAAAATAAACGACTAACTCAAAGAAAAATTTTGACATTTCAATTATTAAAATATAAATTAAAATGCAAGTAATAAAAAAGGGAGTGTAAATATGATCTTCCTTAATAAAAACATGTTACCACTGGCGATGGATGGAGTTGATCGTAGCCATCCCCTTGAGTACCGGCCATCGAAGAGAATTCTCTCTTCCTTTCGTGTGAAATCATTCCATCGCTGAACTCATTCACCAATCAATAAAAAAGTGAGAAGCCACATGGATGCAACCAATAAATTGAACCATATAGTTTTGGCCCCTTTTTGCGGTAGTACAATTCGATTGTATTATAAAATTAATGAATCGTTGATTACGATTCGGTTCTTACCTTCTCAGTTTGGGATCCAAAAGGACTGAACCAAAACATTAGTACCAAAATATCTAAATTATAATACACTAGTTCAATTTTGATTGATAGATGGTAAGCCTTGACACATTGATAAGGTTGTTCCATTATGACTTGGAGGTCGCAGGTTGAAAACTAAGAAATAACCTCTTCGCATGTTGAGGTAAGACCAAACCACGCAATGGCTAAGGCCGCTCGTGCAGTGGGTTTACCTTTTTTTTTGTAGTTTGATTATGATTGGTAGTGAATATAACTTACCATAGTGTAGTACATAGGAACATCATTTATATATATATATATATATATATATATATATATATATATATATTTCAGTTTTATTCCTCGAGTGGTATTTATACAGGTCGGCCATGGCCCAAGGCGATCGCCTTGGGCCTCAAATTTTGATGACCATAGGGGATGGGGAAAAAAAAATTAAGTTAGGGCAAGTCTTAGTCAGCTTGGGCCTCAAATTTTAGAGGGGGATAGGAAAAAAAAGGTTAAATACAATGACACGTCCTGAGATTTATGATAATGATAGCCATATACAAGTTGAGTTTTTTTTAACAATGATACCCCCTCAAGTTTAATACAGTTAACAAAGACACCTCAATTATCACTTAAGGAATTAACATTGTTGCCCTCAACTTATCAGTTAATCAATTTAAATAATAAAATTACCTTTCTAACCTTGTATAAAAAAATAAAATAAAAAAAATCAAACTAAAAAATTTCTTTCTCCTCAGTACTGTCCATTACATATTTTGTATCTACAAATCTATCATCTAAATAAACCTCTGTTACAGCGAAGGTCTCACCCACCATCACCACCACTTCACTATTCAAAACCCAAATCTTCAACATACACTCACGTGTGTGTGTATATATATATATATATATGTATTTATATACCTCTAAGGTCCTAGCATGGTTTCAACGGTGGCCACGGCTGAGGCGGCATTGACACCACCACAACCTTCACCTCAGGCACGAGAATGATCCAAATTAAGAAGAACATGGTCATCACAAGGATGGGCCTCGTCTCCCTACTCGACAACAACATCGCCCAATTTGATGCATTCAAATTCCCCACTCAATTCGGCGGCCAGATCCGAGGATTCAACAATGGCGAATTTTTTGGTGGTGACGGCGGCAACAGTGGTGTGGGATTTAAGGGTGGAGAGGTCTAGGGATTTGGTGGTGGGTTTGATGGAGGGGGCGTGGGTTGGGTTTGTTAGGGTTAGGGTTTGAGAGGTTATGGTTGTTCGTTGCTCTGTTTTTTCTATTGTGGTGGTGGTGGGTTTGTTAGGATAGGCCATGTTCTCCGTTGCTCTATTTTTTCTGTGGTGGTGGTGGGTTTGTTAAGATTAGGATTTGAGAGGTATGGTTGGTAGTTGGTCTATTTTTTCTATTATGGTTGTGGTTGTGGAAGTGTGGTGGTATCTAAGGTTTTTGATGGAGAAGGTAGAAGGTTAGAGAGAGAATGGTGATGTATACTGATGACATACCAAGGGCAAAAACGTCATTTAAGAGTTCTGATTAATTTTTAATTTCAATTAATAAAATATTGAAGGGCAATCTTGACTTCTCACATCTTTTAAGGGCATGTTTGGATCCAATTTGTGACAAATGTGTCATTGTTCAAAAAAGACTCAACTTGTATATATGGTTGTCATTATAGCAAAGCTCAGGGTATCATTGTAATTAACCCAAAAACATATATATTTTAAGTCAGGGAGACGACACAATCTGCTTCGACACTCTGCAGGACGCAGCCTCCGCTATCGCCTCAGGCTCAGGTGACACCGTGACAAGGTATGTTCATCCTCTCTCTATCTTCTCTCTCCTTTTGCATGAATCGATCTTTTTTTTTTTTTTTTTTTCCCTCTCCCCGAGTCCACACCAGTGTCACAACAGCAGCAACCATACCCCCTTTCCTCATAATTTTTTGCATTTTCACATTCAATCCTACGAAAATTAAGGATCCCTTCTAGTGGATTAAGGACCTGAGGTAATAATTAACTTTTTCAATCTCTAAACTATGCTCATACTTAAAAGTGCCATATTAAGGTTTTTAGTTTTATTTTTATTTTTATATGAAGATACATACCACCATTATTGATGTTATTTGAAGTTGGCTCAGCTAGAAATTCAGTTAATAATACTGTCAAAGGCTCAAAGCACTTGCCATCAGAATGTACAAACACATGGAAATCGGCTTTAACAAAACATAAGTTAATGCTTTTTTGTATTAATTTGCACAGGTTTTCTGTAGCAATGATCAATCAATCACTGCTACTAAAGTTGATTCCTCATCCTGAAATCAAGAAAGGGGTAAATGGCTCCCCAAAAAAAAAAAACACAAAAACACACACAATGCTCCATTGAAAACTCCAGCCGGGAGATCATTCGACCAAACTGCTTGATTTTAGAATTTTTTTTTTTTTTTTTTAATTTTTATTTTTATTGTATGATCGGCAATGCTTAGTTATTATTGTTGATTCTCCATCCATTTTATGTTAATTGTGATCTTTTTTCACATGCTAGCAGGACACTCTTCTTAGGATCTTGTGAGGTTATTTGCCTTAACATTTACTTTGATATAAAGTTGAATTTTGATTTTTGTGACTAAGTTGTGTTGAATATTTCATTTTAATTTTTTGATGTAAACTAAATCGTGCTCTTTTTAAAACACCAAGACCGGGTTTTTTTTTGTGTGTTTTCAATATCAATATATTTTATGTTCTTATCATCTCATATTAATGAAAATTCCGCATTCTTATAAATTTTTTTGTGCTTGTGGAAATTTCGGACTCTTTAATTGATAGATTTATTGTCATTAGTTACCTGCCTGTCTTATGTACAGGCGCACAATTATTTATTGGTGGTGATAGATTTATAGTTATTAGTTAGTTGTCTTATGCAAACTGCGCAAGTGTACAATTATTTATTGTTGGTGATAAAAAGTTATAGTTATTAGTTAGTTGTCTTAAGCACACTGCATAGGCGCACAATTATTTATTGGTGGTGATTGATCTATAGTTATTAGTTAGTTGTCTTATGCACACTGTACAGGGGCACAATTATTTGTTGGTGGTGATAAATTTATAATTATTAGTTAGTTGTCTTATGCACAATGCAAATGCGCACAATTATATTAGCTATAGAATTTGAAAACATCGTGTGAAAATTCCGCACTCTTATAATTTTTTTGGTGCGTGTGAAACTTAAGGGCCTCACATTTGAAAGTTTGCCTAGGGCCTCTCAATATATTTGAAATCTCAGGTTTGGCCCTGTATTTGTATATACCAAAGCTGTAGAACCGAGCTGAACTGGTCATATACAGTTTGTTCTGATTCTATTAATTTTGAGAGTGGTTCGATTCCAGTAGTTCTGGAACCATTGGGAGTGAGTTGGTCCTGCTTCATTTTTTTTTTTTTTTTCCTAGTTGGTACTTACACACACATGTTTCTTTTGAGACTTGAGCCCCTGACCTCCCTTTGGGAAGTAAGAGGCTGATACTGCTAGGCCACTGGTCCATTGGTGTCCTGCTTCATTCCATAATTGAATTGAACCTCAACCTTGTGCACCCACTAGATGAACCATCCAATCCAACTCACGGTGGACCGAAACAATTATATGGGCCAGGCAGTGGGTCTTTTCTATTTGGCCCAAGTTCTCAAGAACTTTATCAACTGTACTGCAATGAACTGTACCTTAAAGTTGAGTTTCTTTGTTAGGTCTTTACTGATTGCGTTACAATTTCAAAGCTTTAGACCAAATGATTTGGCCTACAATTTACGAATAAAGGTGCCATTTCTACCATTTCCATACTCCAAATTCATGTATTTGTGTTAAGAATCTAACTCCTTGTTGATATATATATATATTTATATATCTAGATGCTTGGTTCTCATTTTGAATTAGGGCCATTGACACATGTAGTTTCTGCCCTATCTTTCTCTAAGTCTCATTTGTTTATAATATTTTCATTGTGGGTGCAGGAATTGAAAACTAGGAAGTTGTGTTACTGTGAAAGCTATCTTTACAAAACCAAAGAGTCATGTCGTTCATGAAAGGTGATTTGATTACAAGAACGAGAAAGCTTGTGAAAGGTTTGGCCAAGGCCGAGCCTATTTGGCTCAAAGCCATGGAACAGTATGTCCCAGATCTGTTTTCTTGAAGTAGTTAGAAATAGCTTGATTACATGAATCAATTTGTCTAAATTTCAGTTTATATAAGTTTTCTGGCACATTAATTATCATTAGAAATTCTATGCTTGTCAGACATTAGGTTGGGGTCTCTCTCTCTCTCTCTCTCACACACACACACACACACAATGCTATTTTGGGCTTAAACAATAAGAGTTGACTTCAAGTAATGAAAAGGGCTTGATGCAAATAGGGGGAGAGTTGTATGCATTAGCATATCCATGACTCTGGAAAAACCTGTAGGTGCTCTACAGGTTGCCCTGCCATTTAAAGCCCTACAGCAATTTTTTCCCACTCACTTTCTGTGGAAAATGATGGCATCATAGTACGGGTTTTGTGCTTTTAATTCGGTTTGTTGTTGTGAAAGTGTTCTTTGGTCTTGACCAAACTTCCTTTCGCTTACTACCCATTTAGCCTTCCTCACAAACCCGCCTCCAAACGCCAGTACCTCTTTATTTCATTTTTCTGTTAACTTGTCAAATATTTTTTTTCTTTCTATATTTGTTGTTTTTATTCTTAAATTTGTCACATACTAAAAGTAATCCAATCAAACAACCAAGTTGAGGGTAAACACACTCACATTTCCTGATTGATTTAGATTGTTAATCCTAATTAATTTTATTATTGTCAATCGTGTCAATTGTTGAGAAGTTAAACTCGGTTCATCTCAATTCACTAGTTATTGGACACCTAAAGTCACAATCCCCCAACCCATGAAGGAAAAAAGTGTGACTTTTCTTAGACTATATATGATTTTGATGCATGTGGTGTCCTATATTCAGTTCCTTATAGAAGTTACTGGGAATCTCTGGAAGGAGATGTCAAGCTATCATATATATGTGTGTGTGTGTGTATTTTTCAGATGTAGTTAGTCAAGTTTATTCGGTTGTATAAGATGTAAAAATTAAGTTATCAAATATTTGTGCCTAGTCAAGACTTTCTGTCAAGGACCTCAAGGTATATATTGAGAAGAAACTTTTTTTGTATTATTTTGATGTTCCTCCGTCCATTGATATTAAACTTATGGTGAGATCATTAGTTATGCTTTAATGCTTTGCTTATAATTGTGCTTGATTTTGTAATCCAGGGCCCCACCTGCGACATTTCCCCGTGTTGATAACACTTTTAAGCCAATCAGTCTGTCTGAGGATGTTTATGTAAAAAAATTCTTTAAGAAGCATCCAGACTCTAAACATGACGATCCTATCAGGTACTGCTCTACCCCTGTATATATTTATCTTTGTAGCTTTAAATATCATTTCGTTCTTCCATATTCTGTACAAAGCTTATAAAGAATGCTATATGGCCTTACATTTTTTATCTAAAGGTACTGCTTGAAGTTTTATAATAATAATTGTAAAATGAAGTTTAATGACAGAGAAGGGAAGAATAATTTAGAAATTCATTGTGCTAAACGCTTTTTCAATTCTTGTTATCAACCCTGAACAAGCCGGAATGAAATTTTGAGAATTGGTTTGAAGTGGGTATGTGGTCTGAAATTTGATGTCAATTATTTTTGGGTTGATTTGGCTTTTGTATGTGAGGGTTTGTGCTTTGTGCACATATATGCTATGTTACATGGACTCTTCAAAAGTAGTGAAATACCCGTGTCAGACACATTTTGCTCGAACATGGGTATGGGATATGTGTTTGCACTTTTGGTTGGATATTTACTTAAAAAGCATTTCCAATCATTCAATTTTATCATATTATTAATTTAAAGGGAATTAAATGCTTATATTGAACACTTAGTTACATAAAAACATTACTTTATTCTAGAAAATAAAATAAAATAATAAATAAAATGACTATTTAGCAGTGTCTGTGTCCTTCCGTTTGAAGATTTGATAAATGACGTACCCAGGAATTTTGTTTTGGGGTTGGGTTGGGTTGGGGGGGGGGGGGGGGGGGGGGGGGGGGTGGGTGGGTGTGGTCATTGAAATGAAGTTAAAGATAAATATTTTAAAAAATAAAGTAATAATCATAAGAACCTGATTACTTAATGAGATAGAGAGAGAGCCGATTACTTTAGTATCTTCTGGATCCAAAAAAATCAGTGGGGGCAAGAGTATATAATGGAGTATTTTCAAAAATTGAGTGGGGGCATTTTTCTAATTTTAACAAAATATATAGATAGTAATACAAATAAAAAATATCCAATGGGGGCATCGACCCCCACTGGGCCTATGCTAGGTCCGTGGCTGCCCGACACACGTACCCGAATCCATATAACACAGTATATATGTATGAATAAATTCTCTAGTATTATAAATTTATGTATTTGAGAACTTTGTGGAAGCCATTTTCAGGTAATATTTTTCATTGATTGGTGCGATGGTGAAAGTTCGGGCTAAGCTTAAGAATTTGTGTTCAAGGTTAAGAGTGATCACTTTGTGAAAGGAATGCCAAAGCTTATGTTTGATTATTGTGCAGCCCTCCTAGCATTCTATACAATGTTACATGTACTTGTCATTTTAACTTTGGGTGCCCGTTTTAGCATGACATAGGTGCCGAACACGAGTAGTACATGATTGTCATACATCTAGGTCTGAATAGGTGAAGAAAAAAAAGAGGATTAGGAAAAGGCAAAAGGATAAAAAGAAAATTACTAATATTTTCTTGAGGATTCATCTTTAGTTGAGAAATGGTCTCTGGAGGTAATTTTCATTGCCAATGTAGCGTAGGGTTCCATATCTTTACTGAACCAATTAAGTCGTAAGAATGAAATCGTTTTTGAAAGAGAAACAAAAACAACACATTCAAGTGACTGAAATGAGATAGATGTTAGGAATAACTGAAAGAGATAACTTCAATAATCAACGCGTAAGGGAGAAATTAGGAGTGATGCCTATTAGTGGAAAAGTTAAAGAAAGCAGACTTTGGTGGTACAGATATATTCAACACAGGCCAGAAGATGCACTGGTGAGAAAAGGAAGATTGGGTTGTGTAGTAGCCTAGTTGGTAAGGGACAAAGAGGTTGACCAAAACTAACATGGAATGAATTAATATTAAATGATTTTAAAATATTTATTTTAACAACAGATATGGCTTATGATAGAAAAGAGTGGAAAAAGGAGAATCCATGTGGTCAATGCTGTCCATACCGGGTAAAGGCGAGGATGATGAAGATGACGAGTGAAATTGTTTTTGAACCCTAATTCATTTATTCCAACATTTTTTTTTTTACACAAACCCTTATACATATGTTTTAAATTATTAGAATTATATTACCACTCACTGTCTTTGTTTCTGATAATTTAAAAAATGTCTCGATAATTATATTTTCATAATATTCCTCACGTCAATTATATTTTTCATTTTACCCTCCATATTTGGAGGGTGAGTCTTGGTCCAACGGTAAGGTTGCTCAATTGTGACCTGAACGTCATAGAGGAAACAACCTCTTCGTATGCGGGGGTAAGGCCGTGTACATCCGACCCTTCCCAAACCCCACATTGGTGGGAGCCTCGTGCACGGGGCTAAACCTTTTTATTTTATCTCCCATATTTAATTTTTATTTCAACAAGTCCCAACACATATTTCATGGACTTTTCAAGACTTTATTGGTGTCCTAGTACTCTAAACTTTGGGATTGGAAGGATCTGGCATGTAAATCTGCACTTGTACTAACGCTCTTACCTGAGTTCATACAATGTTGATCCTGCATTAGTGGGGCCATTATTTGGTAATGGCAGTTATAGCTTTAATGATTTGCATTGTTACTGCTTATGGTGGCTGAAGGTTGAGTTGTAATAGTTACTGTTATTTGCTAATACGACAGCTAATAATTTCGAGTTGGCCTCGTTATCAAATGTATTTATTTTCCAATTTTAGGATATATGTTGACCGAGTATGGAACTGTGAATCAGTTTCTTGACTTCAAGGCTAGTTAATGAGAAACTGATTGTGTCATGACCAGCTGATGCAGATCATCACCTCTGAAGCTACTTAATAGAACTAGAAGTAAAAAGTGTACCTTTTGATAATGAATGAAATATATGTAAAAGAAGAGAAAGAAAGAAAGCTGCCCAACTGCCAATTAAGAGAACCACGGGATTATGATGATTGATGCTGGTGGCATCTTGTATAAGTTTCAATTCATTGCTAAAAGCATCGATCATTGTAGGTAAAAGAGTTATCTTTGTTTCCATTCAACTGATAGTTCAAGGCTGTTTCTTGGCTTCTGGTTTATTTATCTACCTATTTATTTAATTTCTGGTGCAGCGTTAAATATGTCTTCACCTAAGGTCTAATATGCATTTTGATTCATGCCGTTTTTTTTGAATGTAAGAACTTGCTTGGCTCTTTTATAATTAATTTGATTGATAGAATGGATTAAAATCTGACACGTCAATCTAAACCTGATGCTCTAATGTAAGGGAAATTAGAAAGTAATTTATTGAAGCTGTTGAAAGTTTGTTGTTTTTTATATTATACTTGAGATTTGTGTTCATATCATGATCTCATAGCCACAATTGGATTGTCACATTCAGTTAAGAGCTTCAAGTTGGTCATCAATTTCATTTGTCTAAAATTCCAGGTTACGTGATTTTAATCCCCCTCCAGCCCGTGTGTTTGGTTGGCGAGTGCTCGAGTTGACGGAGCAGGGAGTGAGTGAGGAGGAAGCTATGGCCCTAGCAGATGTATATTTTCATGATTCCAGATTCTTGAATTTAAATGTCCCATGACCAAATCCTCATCTGTTTATGATATCTTTGTCAATCTAACATATACTTTCTTCTGTAGATGGAATATCGAGCGGAGAAAAAGGCCAAAAAGAAGGCATATGTTCGTTTGAAGCAAATTGCACGTCAACAGGGGAAAAAGCCTCCTCCAAACCCATATCCTAGTGCTATCAAGGAGATACAGGCTGAAGAGAGGAAGTATGTCCGTGAACGTTTCCATAATCCCGATATACTGAAAATTGTGCAGAAGATGAAAGAGGATAGGGCAGCTGAGATGAATGACAGAACCAGAGGCGGTGGCGGTTTTGGTGGCTGGTAAAGTAGCATGATGGATCAAATGTGGACTCATCCTTTTCTCTTTGAAGTTGAGTTATAATAATACTTTTAGTTGGTCAGTTATTGGGATATCTTTTACATGAATTTGATTTCCTGAAATTTTGTCAGTGGAACTATCAGATAAAAATGAATAAGAATTGAACTATAATGTTGCCAATATTTCTTGCTGTTGATTTATTATTTTTGCATTCTGGTTTCACTGATTTAGGCTATGGCTAAATATTTTAATGTTAAAACATGGACTTGTTATTATGTGTGCCTCACAATGACTAGAACTTTTCTTTATGGGGAATCAACATGATACTAGCTCATTTTGACAGTTGAGGAAAATGTAGCTAAAATTTTAGGGACCATCCCAAATTTTTGTTTTGAAGTGTTTCGGATATTTTTCATTATATGTTTCAGATATAAATTTGTTCTCTCTAGCTATAAGTGCATTTAATCCCTGAGGAATGAGGATTGGTGTGGTGTGGAATGTGTTGTAGTCTGGTCAGATGACAGGGATTGGTGTGGTGTGGAATGTGTTGTAGTCTGGTCAGATGACAGGAATTCACGGGGTATATCTATCGACCCTGCACAAGCTACCGCAAAATTTGGAGTTTAGTTTGTGGAGCATTACATCAATGGTGGTTGTGGTTCTGTTGAATGATATTGCATCAGAAAGTGGCATAAGCCAGTGTTCGTGACCAGGGAAGAAACAGAAGTGCGGAGGAGGAGGGAAGGAAGGAGCAATTGCTAGAAGGCAGTTCGTCGAGGGATATTTTCCAGAGTGCTAATCCATGGGATGGTAAAAAAGATCGACTGTTGGTTCACTCAGTGCTGTTCAACTCTGTGGAAGGGAAAACGGGAGGCTCCATGACTGCTTCAGTGCAGGGGTCTCGAGTTTTCGACACAGAATTGGTTGATCCTGGAGATCACAAGGGAGGTAATGCCATTTTATAGAGTTGAAACTCAAAGCAAGTGGTTAGAATTAAGCTGGCCAGGTTCGGAGGGATTGATGAAAAGGATTTTCAACTTGTGAAGAAGCAGAAGACAGGAGAGACTTGTAAGAAATGAAAAGAGGTGATTGATCCCTTTATTAATGTGATAAATAGTCCTCAATAGAATTAAAAACCAATTTAAAGGACATAAAAAGTCTAGAATAACACAAGATTTTTGAAAGTAAATGCTACCATTGTACACCATCAATTCATAGTGTATACAGATTTTGATAGAAGCATTTGGTGATCACACAAACTGAAAATGGAATAAAATAAAAATAAAATTTGAGGCCTGTTTTGAGTAAAACAGCCTTGAAAATTGAGAAAATAAAATTTTATTCCTACAGTACCCTGAGGGTATTTACAATTTATATCCCACACCATGTGTAAAATACATCTAAGAATATTGTAGACTTTCTCGTATAATCCAATACTCCAATGGTCAAAAGAAATTGTACATTCGGCCGGATACCCTTCTTGAGGTGCAAGAATGCAATCTAATCTTTCTTTTCTTTTTCTCTCTCTTTCTCTTTCACCAATCATCCAAGTAAAGATCATTCCTGTATCTTTATATTTCACCAATTTATTTTTTCCAACTTTGTATTATTTTAGTGTCTCTGTGTTTTTAATCTGCCATGTATCCACTTTTTCTAGGAACCAACTCATTTTACATCTAACTTTGCATTTGTATATAAGCAGAGCAGCTAAGCAGCAACTCACTTTACATCAAAATATCTCTCTCACGCACACTCACCTACACTGTACACGTACCATATAAGTATATATGGTACAATCTTCAAACGTGTCAACACTTGATTGGTTTTAAACCCTCCAACTGATAATTTGAGTCAATAATTTCTTCACCTTTGGAACTATTGCACCTCTCCAGAGTTCAGCCATGGACACTGCATTAGCTACAACGGTTAACGTCCTTGCAACTCCCGCCACTCATAGACTAACCAACCCACCAAACTCAGCCCCAGCATGGCTTGTCACCGGATCAAACATGCTCGATCTTTATGCCACCAACAGCTTTCTTAAACCCCAAACACCCCCAAACCCTATCCCTAGAAAGAAAAACACTGCACTCTTCCTCACCCACTGCTCCACAAGACCTAACACCGACGACAGAGACAGTGCGACGGACGAGGATTCGACCGTTGAGCCCAATTCAAATCCGAATTTCGAGAAATCAGCAACACCCATTTCGAATTATGCACTTTCTTCTTCGAATTCATTGTTTTCTAGGGGTCTGGTGTTTGATTTGGGCCCCGAGAACGCTTGGGATTGTACCGAAATCGGGTCTCCAGTTGTGAAAAGGTACCTCAGTGATGAGGAGGAGAGGTGGTACCTGTGGTACCATGGAAGGGGTAATGGGAATTCGGGTTCGGATTCGATCGGTTTGGCGGTTTCGAGCAATGGAATTCATTGGGAGAGAGGCAGAGGACACATTGGATCGAGTGGGGATGTGGGTTTGGTGTTGAATTGTAGTAAGGATTGGTGGGCGTTCGATACACACAGCATTAGGCCTGGTGAGGTGGTGATTATGTCTAGTTCAAAGCTTAGAGCAAACAGTGCTGTCTACTGGCTTTTCTATACTGGATTTAGTTCTGAAAAGGTTGAATCTTTTGAGAGTTTGATGGGATTCAATTTAAAAAACCCGGAAAGGGCTCGAATTGATGATGATGAGAATGGTGGTAATGGTGGAATTGGTGAGGTTTTCAAGTCTTTTCCGGGTTTGGCGATGAGTCAAGATGGGAGGCATTGGGCTAGGATTGAAGGGGAGCATCATACTGGAGCTTTGCTCGATGTGGGCTCGAAGGGTGAGTGGGATTCTTTGTTTATTGCAGGGCCCCAGGTTGTTTTTCATGGTAGTGGTGATCTTAGGATGTATTATCATTCATTTGATGTTGAAAATGGGCACTTTGCCATTGGGATTGCAAGGTCAAGAGATGGTATGAGGTGGGTGAAATTGGGGAAGATAATAGGAGGAGGTGCAAATGGTGCTTTTGATGAATATGGGGCGGTGAATGCTCGTGTTGTGAGGAACCGGAAAGATGGGAACTATGTGATGGTTTACGAAGGTGTTGCCGCGGATGGGGGGAGGAGTATAGGAGTGGCTGTGTCTAAAGATGGACTGAAGAATTGGCAGAGGGTTCAGGATGGCGCGGTTTTAAAGCCATCTGAAGAAGATGGATGGGATAACAGAGAAGTGGGATCGCCGTGTCTGGTTCAGATGGATGGGGATTCGGATGAATGGAGATTGTACTACAGAGGAATTGGTGAAGGGGGGCGGACGGGAATTGGAATGGCAGTGTCTGCAGGAAGGGAGATTAGAAGCTTTAGAAGATGGACAGGATTTCATTTGTAGCATATATTGTGTGAGTACTATATCAAATTTTTGTTATTGTGGATTTATTGTTTGCTGTATTAGATTCAATCTAATTTAGGCTCTGTTGTTGAATTCAAAAAATAATATCTTCTGATGATGACTGATTTTTACTTGCACATGAGTGAAATGAACCAAATTTGATGACCATGAGCTTTGATGTTTGGTTTCATGTGTCTCTTTCCTGTTTTAATTGCCATGTTAATTTCGCTTGATTCTATTGTCTGTCTTTTAAGTTTTCAGAAACTCTGAAAGAGACCTTTTGTTTTTTGCCTTCCTGAATTGAAACAGAACATTTTCACTTCTATCCCTTTTCAAAGCCGGTACTGCATTGGCTACTTAGCTGTCACATTCAGCTTGCATCCTTGCATTGGCTATCCATTTTCTTCGATTTTTCATTGAATGGCCCATATTCCTTTTGTACATGGTGGGATGATTTGGTTAACTCTTGGGATTGCAAGACGATGGCAAGAGATGCTTAGGTCTGGCTGGTTGTGTATGTTGGTGTCTTTGGAAAGCCAGAAATGTGGTTATATTTGAGGAAGAGTTGCTGGATCCAACAATTCTTGTGCGTCTAGCCTGTTCTCAATTCTGGGAGTTTGCTGATGCTTTTCCGAACCGATCCTCTTTTGATGGGGTGATCACAGCTTCCTCTCAGTCTGCTTCAATTTGGGCTCCCTCCATTGTATTGAGAGGCTAAATGCAAAGGGGACGCCTCTTCCTTCAAGTCAACATCCAAAGGAGGGGGTGGGGCGGTTTTCCGCAATCACGAAGGTGGTGTTGTGAAAGTGATTGTGTTTAGCCAAATTTTTGCTTTCAAATACTTCAGTTGCGGAGGCCAAATGTCTTAGAAAATTAAGCAATAATGTGGGCGCAATGTTTGAATTTCGGTAGATGTTGGTTTGAGACTATTCCATGGAGATTTGCAGCGACGTATTTAAGTCAGATTCCGCCTTAGCCATGTTTGAATCATGGCAAGGCAACGAGGTTGCCCATGCTGGGGCAAAGCTGTCCGAAAGTCATATTGTCACGGATTCTCATTTGGTTTTTATCCGGGAGGATATTCTTAGTTTGGTTGATCGGGATGAGGGCAGATTGTCTTTATAATTGTGTGTTGTTTGTTTGCTGTTGTTTGCCAAGAATATATATATATATATATATATATATATATAGTATGTCTTATTCATCTTTTTGTTGGAAATTCCTTTCGAGGAAGAAGAAATTCACCCTACAATAAGTTTTGACATGAAAGTAATGAAAAAGACTATTAAGCTCAATCCACATACCAGAATTGAATCTGATATCGAATTGATTAAACATTACCTTTTTTCTACATGGCAAATACAATGCAAAACATAAGAACTATGGAAGCATTATTAGAGCTCAGAATACTGGAAGGGTAAATAGGTCATTCAATTGATGGTTAAATGCTTCTTCTCTATCAGTCAAAGGTTTGACGCAACAAAAGCTTGCTAAAATCTGACTAAACCAAGGCATATATGGTGAGACTAACATACTAATCAACTTGTCAAGCTGATCCAAACCCAACATAGTCAGGACCATAGGCTAAAAGTCCTTCAATTCTGGTCTTTTTATTTTTGTATTTGCACATTATTTTTTATGTTTCTTTCTCAGTCATGCATTGTTTACTGTTGTTATCGTGATTAATCTCTTTGGATTGTATTGTTGCGAAATTAAACAAAAAATATAAAAAAGAGATCAAACATACACAACAAGAAAACGCAGATTTTATTTGGTTCAACCAAAAAGTAGGAGTACGTCCAATGATTGCAAAACAACAACGGCTAAAGAAATATAAAATGAATATATGCCATTGCACTAAGCAATATAACAGGTTTGAAAATTATCAAAATACCCTCCAAAAAAATCAGTTCGCACAGATTTTACTTTTGGGAGGAGTCTCTGCCCTACGATCCCCCACCAATTTATCGCGGAGTTGGATCTTAATGTACAGTATCTATCAAGTTCCACACTACCTATCATATATACTTTTTCCCACAAATTCATTATTATTTACTAAAATATTAATAGTCCAATTTCTTCCATCGATCTACAAATTGTAGTTCACATCCATTTTTCGGGTACAGCTCGTAGAGCTTCGTAACAGAATGTAATTGCATCTGTTCTGAAGTGATCACAAGCTCTAACAATCTCTTGACTACCTACAATAGATAAATAATATATAACTATATCAATTTTTAATAGCAATACCATGTATGAGGATTTGAACCATATATAAATCCATAACCATGTAAAATGACTTTATATACAAATAACGACTTTTAACGTGACAAACAATTTATCAAATGTAAAGTTGCAATTTTTGCCCAAAAATAAGTATTTAGAAGAAAATTTCTTCTTAATTACCAAAAAAATAAAATTATCATTGTGACTAACGATCACATTATACATTAAGATGGTTAGTTAGTTACAAATCAATATTAGATCAGATTTAAATGAAACTACTTGATATTCTTGAACATGCAAAAAGTGGGATAATTTATTTACCAAAAAAAAAAAAAGTGGGATAACATAAATTCAAATTTAGCCAATTACCCTGTACCTTCCATGTAGTGTACCAAAAAAAAAAGTGGGATAATTTATTTACCAAAGAGGAATGGATGTCAACAAAAATGGCCGCTATTGTGAATTCAACAATGTCAGCAAGAACCTTTGGTTCATCAATTAAGCCATAAGAATGCAAGGATAATCGGGGGTCACATGCATGAATTCGCAAATCCGAACAAGCTTGTTAATTTTAGTTCACAAACCAAATATGGTAAATGATAAATTATAGTTGAAATGAGTTTTTCTTATTTTAAATACAATAAATAAATAAATAAACCTATTTCAATCTAAATATACCTTTCTTGCATGTTTTGACAAAAATAAAAAAAAAATTAAAAATTAAAAGGAGAATTATTGAGAGGAGACGAGATCCTTTGCAGTAAAGTACACCTTACACGTATGCGTTGAACAGTAATTGACCACCATAATCACTCACAGGGACGAACTTACGTACACATGGAATAATTGCCCCTTGAACTTCTTTTTTTTTAACACTACTAAATTATTCTTTTTCAATCATATACCCCTAAAATATTACAATTGCCTTTCTAAAATTATTAAAATATCATTATTGCCCCCCTCACTTAATGGTCAGGGTTCGTCCCTCATCACTTGCATATGTGATCGTGTCATATGTGTGAATGACAGCTTAGTGCTGTACAATATGATGATGTTACCCTACCGAATCGGGTCTCAATTGAGTTTCCATAGTAAAGTAATGTATGTAGAAAAAATACTTGGTTGTAAATGGATATAATTCATTTTTCTTGTTTGAAAAAGGTTAAAAAAATTGACATAAAAAAATAAGAATACAAATATGTTCGAGTATAATATGTTGGGAATATTTTATAGAAATCATTCATACACAATGATATAAGTACAAGAACTTCTCATTTAACGAAAATACATAACTCAAAATATTATCTCTAATCTTTAACACTCACCATATTACATGCTTTGTATAATAAAAAGAATTATAGCAATAACAAGAAGTAGAATGAAGTTCAATTTTACAATAATAAGTAAAAGAATTGCACTGAATATTATTTGATCAACAATGGTACAAGAAAATTGAACTTGAACTTGATATTTTGATAAATAATATATTATAATCATATAAATATATTAAAGTTAAATTAGATAAGAGTAAGGAAAATTGGACTTTAAGATTGATAGGCCTGCATGCACTGCCCTAAAGTCGATACTAACGGGACAATTATGTCGAAGTCTCGTCGTCTATATACTCATCAAATATAATCCTCAAAAATATGTATAAACTCATTAACTATAATACTTACAAATATGTAAAAAAGAGAATGAGAAAATATATAGACACACTCATGTAGAAATATAGAATTAGGTAGTTCATCTCTTTCTTATATTGACCATATATATAATAGTATATATGATTTAACACACTATAATATATGTAATAATGTATAATGAAATACACTAATAAAATGGGTAATAAAGTAAAATAAACAACAATAAGTATATGATATAGCGTTCCATTATATATCTATACATATATATATATTAAAAAAGTTATTAAAAATTCGACCACACGTGTAATTTTTTTCTTCCTACTTTAGAAATGATTAAAGAAGCATAGGGTGTTAGGGAAGATGGAAGATTCTAAAACATTGAGGAGTGTTGTAGGAAAATAAAGCATATATTCTAAAATATTGAAGAATTTGTAAAAATTAATAAATTATATAAAACACCAAATCTACACCCCTTTTGTTTTACCTTACGAACAAGTATTAGCACTATGACACAAATCATCCATAACCCATGTAATTCGTGTATGAATCTATCATCCACCCTATAATTGGGGGGCACTACCCTAGTTCAAACACAGGTGAAGCTGCCTATTTTTACCCAGGGGAATGCTGTGGATAAATTAAAAGGAATATGAATGTATTTTCTGGCATCAACTTACGATATTTATAATGATAAGGAACTTACATGACTATAAATGAGTTGAATTTATCGAATCACATCCTTATAAATTGAAGATCAATGCTTGGGTCAATGTGAAATGAATTTCATCCAACCTTCTGATATGGTCCAATAAATTTAAAATAATTATTCAAAAATAAAATAAAGAATTAAAATACATGTCCAAAAACAAAAATGAGGTAATATTCAATTTGTAATTTTATATATTTTGTTAATAGATTTAAATAGCCACACCTACAAGTTAAATTAGCATGCGCCTTTCTTTAGATTTTAGTTAACTCTCCCTTAAAAAATTTACTTTATTTTAAGAACTAGTCTAAAATCGCTGACGCATGGCTGAGAGAGGTCCATGCTCATCCCCATGCACTAAGATACAACCTAACTTAAACATACTCATCCTCACTGCATTATTCGGAACGCTTTTCAAGTTCTGATGCAACCGCTTTTAGCACACACTTTTTGAAAGTAAAAGTATAAATGAATTTTCATATGAATATAATTATTTTTCATAGTTTCATATGTTCATTTCTAGTATTTTGTGCGACTTCAATATCTAGATGTGCAATAAGGACTCTAGTAATACAAAAATTACACCACCATTTTTTGTCATTAACCCTTATCCAGTTATTCCTTACCTAATATGTAAATTTAGTCAAATGTTTGATCCTAGTGGACCTGAAATCGTGGAAATTAATTATTCTTTATTTTTAATTGAAATCAAAATCGAATCGGAAAAGAATCTAATCGAAACTGGTTTCAACTTTTTTTACAGTTTCTAACAACTTGTGCACCCCTCATATCTATTCAATTTTCATATTATGGCTTTGTTTATTTTCAATCTCAAATACCAGCATTATTCTTTTTGTTGGCATTTATCTAAAAAGCACGGTTACTTCTAAAAAACGTAACATGTACAACTAAGATATGTGTTGGATATTGATATTCCCTAATCCGATACTTCTTTAACATATTTATAATTTTAAAACATATTCATAATTTTAAAATATATTTTTAATTTCTAACAGGTATCTGATACTTCTCATATATCATAGCACAATTTTAACAAGTTCTGAACATTAAAATTTAATTAATTAATAAATCACACAAATAATATTGTATAATTGTTAAGAAATGTTCAAAATTTATTAGGTGATAACTAAAATGCTTATTTTATGTATTGTAAAACGAGCTTCTATATTATACTATTAATAATTACTTTTAGATTCATAAAATATATAATTTTTTGATATAAAAAATAAAAGTTCTATTATTTATTTTTAGCATATTCCGCCTTACTTTATTTTATTTTTAAGAGATTTACCGTATCGGCCCTGGGCTTAAATTTGCCCTAATTTTTTTAAAAGATTTTTTAATTTTTATTTTTATTAAGATTTGGGCCATTGGATTGTGTTAGTATAAGTGGGTTCATCCGGTGTGATTCGGCTGCACGAGGATTCAGTGTGCCAAGGATCTGAGCCCTAGATGCGGCTTGATCAAAGAGGGGTGTTCGCATCGTATCATATTTATACCGCGGCATTGCATGATTTGCACCTGTATCCGTCCGTATCCGTGCTTGTCTATAACGGGCTCCCTAAACCCGCCCCGTTTCCATCCTGAACTATTCGCTGAATTACGACATCGTCGCATTGCGACTTGACTGCTTCTACTTCAAAGAACACAACAGTCTCGACAGAATTTGCTAATAATCGCCAGTCCGACACTGTTTGAATGTGAAGTGGCGGCAAATCAGAAAGTTGATCGCCAGTCCGATATATCTTTAGTTAGGGTTTAATCCACTCATTTGCAATTGGTTTTGTACTCTGAACATCGGTTGGCTGAGCTTGTTGAGTCCTCTACAATGACAGTGGACTCTTCCTCATCAGTTTGCAATTTGGGGATTTTGGACTCTCTCAATGACGATGCGATTCAAGAAATTCTGGAAAGCTGGAATGGCTTCTGCTTCTCCACCGAAGCTCTTCTCAAAGCCAACGGTGACCTATCGTACGGTTCAGAGTTCGTGTCTCACGCTCTCACTCTCTGCAACCACGGCCTCCAATCTCTCGCTCAAGAACACTTCCTTCGCTCTCTTGAGGTGCTTATGCTTCTTGTTTTCTACAAGAATTGTTCATTGCTTCAAGTTAATTGCTTTAATTGTGGACGTTTTGTGAAATCAATTTGTTATAATCTATGTTCTTTGGATTTTAAAAGTTCTGAGAAATCAATTTGTTTCTCGACCAGTTAATTTTGTTTTAAAACGCATTTTCTAGAAATTGTTTTAAAATGCTGCAAGTGCATGGTGTTATGGTTGTTGTGTGGGTGGAAATTCACTTGTAGTGGTGCAATCAAGTTAGTATTGAATAGGTTTTTAACAAAGTTACAATGGGGTATTGGTGGAAATGGAAAAAAAAAAGTTTGTAAGCACATTAAGTAATTAAGTGTGCAGGGTAATATTGAAGAAGCAATGAGTGCTGTATACTGTGGTAATGTGTATCTGCTGATGGCAAATTAATAAAATTACAATGGGGTTTTGGTGGAAACTAAAAAAAGAAGTTTGTAAGCACATTAAGAATAATTATTTGTGCAAGTAATATTCAAGAAGCAAGGAGTGCTGTATACTGTAGTAATGTGTATGTGGTGATGGCATGATGCCAGATCATTCTCATTCAAACCTAAAAGAAAATGGATGCAGTGCTACAGTTTCAGTATTGTAGCTATAAATAATGTTTACCTTCTTTTTTCTATCTATTGAATTTAGGCTTCCAGATACTTGTGTTTTAATTTTGTATCACTTTTTGTTGTTTTGCTAATAGGAAACTTTCGAGAAAAATGGAGTACCAAAATTCTGGCGGCATTTTGATGCTTACAGCAATGTTGCAGCTTTAGAAATGAATGACCCGGTATGTATGTGAGATGCTTTAGCAAGCTAAGTACTTTGTTGCTTGTTTAATTATTTGTCCTTCCATCAATATAAATTGTCTAGGAAACATGTGATTAGGAATATTTGTTTTGCTTCTGAGCATCATTTGTTGATTGTTTGTCTTGTATTGAATTCATCTAATTGTCGAAATTCATAATGATAAGATTTATAGTTTGCAGATAATACTTTCAGCCTCTTGACATATTGTGACACTTCAGTTGTTTAAAGGGACAAACTAATCTCTAACAGTTTGCTTTAGTTTTTATGAATTACAACATATATTTTAAATGTCACTGATGAATTTGGCATTTTCACCTTCAAAGTGATTGGTAAATCAAAGTTTCTATTCAACATTGTTCAGTATGCAAAAATGATCAGTTCAACCACGAGATATATAAATGTTCTCATCAAATGTACAAATATGCTATACCTGCCAAGGGATTTTGCTTTGTACTTGGTTTATTGCAGATTTCTTGAATGCATTATATTGTTAGTGACTTGCCTTGGACAAGGCTGGCTCATTTAGATACTTAGCTATCTGATTGTATTCCAACAAAAAGGTTGGCACTTCTCTCCTTATGATGGTTTTAGCTTAAACACACATGAGCGTTTTAGCTTAAACACACATGAGCACATGTACACGTACAAAGTAAGCACATGGACTTCCTGTGATTTTGGTGAAGCTAATCGTTTCAGTGGCTTACATTAGCAGAAGGGGAGTGTTTGGCTTGTATATAGATTAAAATACCAGAAATATGTAGCTAGAGCAAGATCTTTTATCTTAAACGTCTAATATTATTTTTTAATTTTTTTATTAAATCCAAAATAGGGTGTTTTGAGCGTTGAAAAACAATGGGTTTAAATTTGGGGGCTCAGATGTAAATTCATGAATCCAGTGCTATCTGGGAGATTATGTGATTTGAAATTTTACATTAACATCCATTCATCACTGCTTTATGGAGGTAAGCAGATGAGATGTTAACTTCTTTGGGAAGATTGTGTACCCCAACTTAATTTATTTTCTGACCAATTTGTTTATGATTTCTTTGTAATTAATTTGTTTGATTGTTTCATGATCATTTCATGCCTTATTTTACTCCTCTCTTACAGGAATCCCCTTGTACTTTTGATAAAGTGTTGCTTACAATCAAGAAAATCTATCTGAACTTGATCTTGGGAGCAGTTTGTGGTTAAGGATTCTGTGAAAAAAGACACATATTCTATTATACTCAAATATGATCCGCTGAAATAGTAAGAGTGGATTCTCTTGTTAGGTCATTACTCAAATGAAGTTCTATTGTTTTATCATCATTAATCACCACAAAATGCAGCTTTCTTATTCTTACTTATAAAAATAAAAAAATTAACGCAAAGGGACATGCTTGGTTCAGTGGTAGAAATTAAGCTCTCAAGCATGAATGCGAATTTGAGTCTTATGGAAGCCACATTATGCAGATAAGGACATATTTGGTAGGTGTAAAATTTACCCCACCTAGAACCATTCATTGCTACTAGACAGTGACCCTTCAAAAAATCAATGCAGATTTATTAACTTGTTAGAAAGAAATGAGGAGTGACGTATTAATGATATTATGAGAGGAAGCAGGCTTAGTTGAATGGACATATGTAATGTACACCAGCTGATGCACCAATAAGACAAAGAAAACTAGCTATGGAGAAGGTAAGATACAAAGTGGTAGACTAAAACCAACATGCAATGAAATAATAAAAAAAGATATAAAGAAATTAGATCATTGGCGTGGAAGAAGAGAATCATGTGGTTGACCCCATTCAATTGGTATTCAAGCAAAAATGATGATGATGATAATGCTTATGATTATTTTTGAATATTTAAATTCAAAACATAAACTTGATATATATATGTATATATATATATTTCATTTTTAAAGCACATCTGAAGTGATTTGTGGTTATTGAAATGCTATCTGCAATTGCTCTTTTATTCACTGTCTGCTATTTTCTTGTCACTTTTTTATCCTTCTTTCCTTCCTTATATTCCATCTGTTTCTAGTTCGAGGTACTGAGTGTTTCTTTTTCTTAACGCAACCCCACACACCCTCACACAACCCCCCACACCCCCCCCCCCCCCCCCCCCCCCCCCCCCCCCCCCCACCCCTCCCTCCTCTCTTGGTTTCTATTAATATATGAAGTTTATATTTGGTAAAGCTCTTCAAGTTAAGCTGCTAAATGGTTTTGGATTTTGAACGGAAGATGAAGTTTGATTAATTTTGTTACAAATCTGTATTGCTTAAATATATATATTGGGATCTGGCTGAAATATCCTTAGAATTGCTAAATACTTTATCAGAAAATCCTCTCATGTTAAATTTTAATCCTGTTTGTGACCAACACCACGACTTACCAATAGAATTAAAAAGAACTTTTCTTTTTTTCAAGAAGCTGCTGCAAGCTGCCAGTTGTTTTTCTATTGATCCGCTCAGATTCCAATAGTTTATATGTCATGTTGGAATCCTGACCCCCATAATTACTGAAACAGGTTCAAGAGAATGGAGTTCAACAAGTATTATGTAAAGCTCTTGAAGAGATATCGTTGGAAAAACAATACCAGGAGAAGTGCCTTTCAATGTTGGTTCATGCATTACAGTCATACCGAGATAGTATGTCGGAGGGAAGACACAAGTCAGATTCCGAAAGAATCCATCTTTCTTCTAAATATCAGTTAATGGTGTCTTCAGTTCTCATGGCCTCTCTTCCTCGGCATTTTCCTGGTATGTCTCGATATTATTAGTTATGCAGTTATGCATGAGAAAATTCGGACTTACGTTTGCTGAATATGATAGAAAAAATATAGATGAACTGTTCAGGTTTGTCATTTGTTTTCCTAAAGATAAACAGAAACGCTAGTGTTCACCATTTTTCTCAAGTTCAATACAAAATTGTTGAAAGTATAACTTTGATTCCAGTGAACAAAAAGACTAGGTAAATATGGGCCAATCATTGTTATCCTACTTCACCATGTATGTGGGTACTCTGTAAAGTGCATGGTCTGTCTGTTCTCTCTGGAGGGCAACTGATCCTAACACATCAGTGCTTGTCTGTCAGCCTCTTTGTTTGCAAATCATAAGATAGAAATTTCTGAAGTTAACTACAAGAACATGATTTCTAGGGCACTTGAATTATGAAGTTAGTCAATATTGTTGTTGAATTCCATATACGTGTTGCAATGGATGGTATCTTATCACAAACTCATGGCTTGTTTGGAAACCGCTTTTGTTTTGTGTTTTCTATTGCGGCTAGTGAAGCAAAACACCGAAGCGCGTTTGGTAACTTTTGTTGGGATTTGAATAGTACCACTTTTGTTGCCAAAAAGAGGACCAAACCGAAAAGAAAAAATTTGTGTTTCCGCATTGTGGCAAAACACTCTAGTGATGAACAGTACCCCAAAAAAACCCCTCTAAATGGCCTTTTTAACTAGGAAAGGTGTTTTAAAATCTTGCAACACTTTTTTACCAAACATGTTTTCATGTTTTCGCTTCCAAAAATCTTGCAACAAATTTTACGTTACCAAACATGGTTTCAGTCACTATTGAACACACCCCACAACAAAAATGTTGTTTCTGTTTCAGGTGAAAACAGAAACATAAAACGGAGAAGGTTTCCAAACGGGCCCTTAGAAAGCCAGAAATTTCTGAAGTTAACTACAAAAACATGATTTCTATGGCACTTGAATTATAAAGTTAGTCAATATTGTTGTTGAATTCCGTATACGTGTTGGATGGTATCTTATCACAAACTTAGAAAGCCATCTGTAGAGCTATTTATAATGTCAATTCATATGATAAAGAGGTCCTCTCTCTCTCTATCTCTCTCGGTAATTTGAAAGTTCTATTGTCTTCTTGGTAAAATGGCATAAGCCAAAGAAAGTATCATAGTGTTTTGCCCATATAAAATGACTATGTTTGTGATCCTTCAAGTAGTTCAAAAGTATATGGTAAGTGAAAAGATCTCTTAACATCAGTAAGTTCGTCTAGTTTAGTGATCTCTGAAGACAACCTTATATGTCATATCCTCAGATGGACATTTCAGCTTCGTATAATCTAGATATGAGTTCGGAGTAACTGAATTGAATGCCCATATAAATTTATTTCATGAATTAACCTATTAATGTGCAAGTCTGTGTTCACTTATTTTGAGTTATTCAATTCTTCTTCTTCTTTTGTTTTTTCTTAATATATATTTTTAAATTAGCAATTTCTATTCAAATTCTTGTTATGCCAGCCTTAGTTATCTTACTCATTCTATGTTGTTCCATTTCATTATTTCAAAGTTCTTACCAATTCACCCGTCTCCATTTAATATTGTGATGCTGTAGTTCTTTGACATATTTGTAAAATGGTTCAGTGCGTTCTTTGGGCTTGGGTTATCCATTCTAGAGGTCTTTCTTCGAAGCTTCAAATTATGTAATGCTTCTGACACCCCATAAGTATATTTATCACTGCTTTGTTTATGTCTTACAATGTTCTTAGAGATACTCCACTGGTATTTCAAGGGAAGGCTGGAGGAGTTAAGTACAATTATGGCTGGAGAATTTGGAGAAGATGATGAATCACAAGATAAAGATGACATGGATATAGATGAAAAAGGTAAACTCCCCTACAGAATTGGTGAAATGGATATTGATGGGTACTATCGTCAGAGAAGGTTTTCAGAAAACAACAAACTAGTGAAGAGCATTGGAACGGTTGTTCGTAATCTTAGAAGTCTTGGATTTACATCAATGACGGAAGATGCCTATGCTTCTGCTATATTTTTACTTTTAAAGGTGAGCATGTGTTTTATTATGCAAATGTTATTCAGCATATCTGATTCCCTTCCTACTTTGGTTCATATAATTAGTCATCTCTTCTTTAACTGCATCAGATCCAATAGTCTCTAATAGATAACATTATAGTTCCTCAGTTAAATTTTGTTGGTTCCTGTTGTTTATATTTTATATCTATATTTAATTTATTTCTATAACATTGTCTTTTTCAATTTTCTTGGCAGGCTAAAGTTCATGATCTGGCTGGTGATGATTACAGGAGTTCTGTTTTGGAGTCCATTAAGGAGTGGATACAGGTGGCTCTCACATGCCAGATACTTCTAGTTTTTATCCTTTGAAATTGTGGAGTTTTTTTTTTTTTAATAATTTCATTTTATAGTGGACTAATCTCTAATGATGCATATTTCATCCATGCACATGCTGCGATAATGTAGTAGGTGTTATTGGCTCTACTTGGTAAGTTATTGAGGATATGCTTGGTGATTGCATGGGTGGATTTTAACTATGTTATGATGATTAAGAGTATCTAATGCACAATTTTCATCTATAAGCATCATTTGCAATGCCTTAGCATTTCTCTTGGTATCAGTTGTGGACATTTTCTAAATTGGAGGACATTTGATCATATCATACTATAAATAAATTTCATTAAGAAGTAGTTTATTCCTAGTGACATCTTTAATTAACTTAAAGGGACTACTGCAAGTGCCCAAATATGATTATTCAATTTTCCCATGCAGTGTAATGCTAAAATTGCAAATTGATATATTATTTATATGTTGTGAACATGGTATGGTTTGCTTTTATTCTGTTCCTAATCCTTGCTTTCTGCCACACAATCTTGGATAATGAATGTCTTCTAATATTGGAAATATATCAAACAGGCTGTGCCCCTCCAGTTCTTGCATGCACTTCTTGCTTATCTCGGTGACTCGGTTAGTTATGACAGCCCTTCTTCTGGTCTGAAATCACCTTTGGCATTGCACCCACCTTCATGCTATCTTGGAACTGACACACCCTCTGAAGGACTTATTAGATGGCAGTTGCGGCTAGAGTATTTTGCTTATGAAACATTGCAGGATTTAAGAATAGACAAACTTTTTGAGATTATTGTGGATTATCCTGACAGGTAATTCTATTGCATTCTAAATAATGTTCTACCACATTTTTAACAGGCAGTCTCTGTTAGTCTTGGTAACTTAGTAGTGAAATTCTGCACTGGACATGCTTCCTACACGAGTCTTTACTTAGAAAGGATTTATGTCGATACAAGTATGGTTAGAATATTAATGTATTTCAGTAGTCTGTTAGTTATGACAGCCCTTCTTCTGGTCTGAAATCACCTTTGGCATTTCACCCACCTTCGTGCTATTTTGAAACTGACACGCCCTCTAAGGACTTGTTAGATGGCAGTTGTGGCTAGAGTATTTTGCTTATTAAACATTGCAAGATTTGTGAATAGCCAAACTTTTTGAGATTATTGTGGATTATCCTGACAGGTAATTCTTTTTGCATTCTAGATGATGTTCTACCACATTTTTAACAGGCAGTCTTTGTTAGTCTTGGTAACTGTGTAATGAAATTCTGCGCTGGACATGCTTCCTACACGAGTCCTTAATTAGAAAGGATTTATGTAGATATGAGTATGGTGAGAATTTTAATGTATTTCAGTAGTCAACATATCTTTTTTTACTTGGAGTTTAATTTAGGTATTAGTCTTTGACACAGTAACCAGGAAAACCTAAATTCTTTATTGTGGCCATGCTAATAATGTTTGGTACTTTTTGCATGCATTAACATTGATACATGGCACAGGAACAAACTTTCTGTAGCCATTTTATTCATGTTTGATGACAAATCAATTCTAGTTTAATTCTGTTGAAGGATATAAATATAAAAGTTGCACCCTCTCTAACAACTTAAGCTTTTAGAGTAGATGGGTAGTTAACATGGTATCAGAGCCAAAGGTCTCGAGTTCAAACCTCACCGTCACCCTAATTAAAAAATTGAAAAACATTCGTTGGACCAAAAAGAAGGCCACATGTGAGGGGGCGCGTTGAAGGATATAAATATAAAAGTTGCACCCTCTCTAACAACTTAAGCTCTTGGAGTAGATGGTTGTTAACAAATTCTAACAAATTTTAGTGTAGTTCTAACGTGGTATATTTGAATTGAGCAAGAGGGTTATATAGCACATCTGTATACGTGTTACCAAATTATTTAGGATGTATTATTTTTTTTCCCCTGGTGGAGAAAGGGGGGCTATATGTTCCTTATTTTTTTGTGAGAATTGAGCTCTCATGTAATTCTGAAAGATTCATTTCCCTATATCTAAACTAGTTCTGGAATTCCTATTGGGGTTTCTATCTAGGGCATGAACTAGTTTCTTTTCCTTTAGTCAGTTAGTAGAAACAAAAGCGGGAGAGAGAGACAGACATACAGGGAAAAAAAAAAATGCACAGATATATAACACAAAAAGTGAGCAACTGTTATTAACCTTACCTATTTATATATATATATTTCACTAATATTTGTACATGTAGTAAAACTATTATTTCACTAATATTCGTCTAAAATCTTTGGCATCAAAGTGATATGCATATAATTGTTTTGAATTTGCAGTTCTCCTGCTATCGAGGACTTGAAACAATGTCTTGAATATACTGGACAACATTCAAAGCTGGTTGATTCGTTTATTTCTGCACTGCGATATCGTCTGCTTACAGCTGGTGCATCAACCAATGACATATTGCACCAATATGTTTCAACTATTAAAGCACTTCGGACAATTGATCCAGCGGGTGTTTTTCTTGAAGCAGTTGGTGAACCAATAAGGGAATACCTAAAGGGGAGAAAAGACACCATTAAATGCATCGTGACCATGCTTACTGATGGGACTGGTGGGAATCCCAATGGACCTGGAAATGGGGATAGCCTTCTTGAAGAATTAAATAGAGATGAAGAAAATCAGGAGAACACTAGTATTGATGATGATATCAACACTGACGACAAGCAAGCATGGATAAATGCCCAACGGTATGTGTATGTTATTCTTATGCACATGGACATGGACAAAGTAATTCAATTTTTATACACATGAAGATGAGCATGTAATTGCACAGGTTTGTGTTCTTAATCTTTTTACCATTCGAAAAAGAAACAAAAAAAGTTGCACAGGTTAGGAAAAGTGGTGGACTTTATTTAGGGTAATGCTTGGGAAAGACCAAAGTTAACATTGATTGAGATAGTTGAGAAATATATGATAGCATCTGGTTTGAGTGAGTTGTGGACTTGGAGCATTCATGTAGCTAATACGAACAGTTGGGAAAATGCTGAATTGAATTGAGTTGAGTCAAGATGTGCAGTGAGTATGAACTTCTGCTTACCATGTTAAAAGCGTGACATGTTTTTCTAATTGAATTGAACACCCTTTCAGCTGGGAGCCTGACCCTGTAGAGGCTGACCCCTTGAAGGGTAGCAGGAATCGAAGGAAGGTGGACATACTTGGAATGATTGTTGGCATAATCGGTTCAAAGGATCAGCTAGTTAATGAATATCATGTTATGCTAGCTGAAAAGCTTCTGAACAAATCTGATTATGATATTGACTCAGAAATACGTACCTTGGAACTGCTTAAGGTAGGTGGGCTATGTAAGTTTGTGATCTATGTCAGTTTCATTTGAGTCTACTGGCGGCACTTGATTGGAGTGTCCTGTTGGTTTCAGCTTAACACATCTTAGTATCAAGTTTGTATTTTCATTTCCCAGATACATTTTGGAGAGAGCAGCATGCAGAGGTGTGAGATTATGCTCAATGATCTGATTGATTCCAAAAGGACAAACACCAATATAAAAGCAACCATAAACCAGCCATCTCAAACAGGTATTATTTATTTATTCTTTTTTATTTATTTATTATTATTATTCTTTTTCTAAGCTTTTCAGCCTTTATTGGTAACCTTATGCTTAATCTTGCAATCATGACAAAAACCATTGTTACTTTACTAGTGTATATTTCTTGAAGCTTTGCGAGTAACTTTTTTTCAATTTGAACACAGGTGATGAGTTAGGGGAGAATGGTGTATCACTTGATATTCTGAATGCTACAATCTTATCTTCAAATTTCTGGCCCCCCATCCAGGTAGGAAAACAATATTTTTCAGTCTACATACTTTTTACTGAGAACATGAGTTCGGGAAATGATAATGACATGCAGTGGTATCCATTGAATAAAACTTCGAAAATCTTACCCGAGTTATTGATATCAGGCGGGTTCAAGCCAAAAAACTAAAAGAGAGAAAGAAAAGGGTTATTTTTCAGACATTTTTTTCTAAGCAAAACTGTCATGATTTTCATATTTTTTCATGAAAAATATAATATTATTATATCTGCTTTGTTTATATGAAATACCTCTATTACATAAATTGAGCTCACAAGGAAATGGTGAGAACTTCGTTCACGTATTTCTGGTTCTTAATTTTGCTTCAGAATGGTTTCATTGATCCTTGTGAACAAGTTTTTGTTACACTGTATATAACCTCAAAGAGAAATTGCAGGACGAAACCATTAAAATACCGGGGCCTGTGGATGAGCTGCTAAGTGATTATGCGAAAAGATTTAATGAAATCAAGACCCCTCGGAAGCTATTGTGGAAGAAAAATCTTGGTACAGTCAAGGTTAGGCAGTTCAAGTTTATATGCTGCAACTCATTGTTTTTTCCTAAACTTAAATTTTTACTTAAATTTGGTTTCTCAATATAGAAAATTAAAACAAATTTCATCCTTTTACACTCCCTGCCTCACCAAGCACCATCGGCTACTTCTTGCTTCGGCAAACAACATTAACTGTTTTTGTTGTGGTCATTCCATTTTAGTTGGAGTTGCAATTTGAAGATAGAGCACTGCAGTTTACGGTGGCTCCTGTGCATGCGTCAATCATTATGCAATTTCAAGATCAAACAAGGTAACCTTGTGAACCATCTCAATACGTTTTGTTATTTGTAAACAGTTAAACAAAATCTATACCTTGTAATTTCAGCTGGACCTCTAAGAATCTTGCAGCTGCTATTGGGATACCTGCGGACGTACTCAATCGCAGAATAAATTTCTGGATAAGCAAGGTTAGTTATACTCATTCTAACACTTTATGCAATTTACTTGTAGCTGTAACTAAAATCCTTCTCTTTTCTTTTTGAGATGTAATATTGGCATATAGTTTGTTGCTTTGCTTTGAAACTTTAAACGTCTGCCTGGCATGAACTTTTTTTTTTTTTCCTCTTTCTGAAAGCCTTTTATGTTAAACTGGCCATTAGCCCAAAAAAGGCCATTATCCAGTGTGATCTCAATGACTAATAAAATAGCATTAACCACCTTCTCGAATTAAGAAGCCAAATCACTGCCAGTTCCTTGGGTTGCTTTCCTTTAGCTTTTATTTGCCAAATTATGGCCAAATCCATTCATATGGTCATTTTGAATGGTGAAAGCATTAGCATTTTGTTTTTTGCTTGCTCAAATAGGGTCATTTGTTTTTATAAAATTTGATTTGAAATATTTATCATGATTGTCCTTGGGGATAAAATTAAAATAGCATATGATTAATTTTCATGTTCTGTTTGTTTGTTTCACGGTCACCCAGGGGATTCTTGCAGAATCATTTGGAGATGACTCTAACGACCACATATTTACGCTGGTGGATAGCATTGCCGACTCTAATAAACCTGGTGTTGGCGGTGGTAGCTGTGATGAGCTTCTAGTTGGTGACGAGGATGGCGAGAGATCAGTGGCCTCCATTGAGGATCAACTACGTAAAGAAATGACTGTGTATGAGGTACATTTTCTGATTATTCTTGTTTAGCTTTTAGTATGCTTGCTGAAAGGTTCTTTAGGTCTTTTGTAAGTTAACTCCTGAGTTTGTGATAGTATTTAACTATTCTTTTAAACCTCATTTTCATTTAATTTCTTATGATAATTATGGTACAGATCCAAACCTTGCATTTCATGTTCAATGTTATGCACCAAGTCAAATGTAATAGGTTCTCAAGCACTCCTCAATATTGTTATGTTTTCACGTCTCATTTTACCACTTCATACTGATAACCCAAAATTGTTTTTGATCAAATTCTATTATCCTGGCGGGTTACCACACTTGACATATCTCTCAAAAATCAGCCATTGGTAAATTAGGCAAAATTTATGTCATTTGAACTTGATCCCAAACTGTAAGGATACAAATTCTTTATCTAGAATAATATCTGAAAGGAAAGTTCAATGTACAGCAACTCCTTCAAAATTACTCCCTAAACTAGCAAATGCTCTATGAGTTGAATATCTTTACGAGAAGGGAGGTAAGAAGAGGTTAAATTAGATGCCTTAACTTGCCTTCTTTTGCTTTGGGGATCTACAAAAGAAATCACACAACATAAATATTTGGAAAGTAAAAACTGAAATGAGCATAAAAAATTCAGTGTTGGTAGAAAGAGAGGTGGTCAACATTTCCCTTGGGGTTTTTGTGTTTTTTGGGGGGAAATAGCCTTTTTGGGTGTCTCGGGTAGGTAAACTTTACGAATTCTTGAGAAACCTTGCAATTTGAACAATTCTGAAAAACCATTTCATTTCTGGTTAAAGATACTACGCCAGATGTTTGTCAAAATTTGTATGTTGTACGAGGACTTTCTAGGTGGTATCTGTTGATGCAAACTTCTGAATGTACTTTTGGTTTTCATTGTAGAAATTTATCACTGGGATGCTAACAAATTTCGGCAGCATGGCATTGGATCGGATTCATAATACTCTCAAGGTAAAAACGGTTACCCTCATGCCCCCACAACAATTATTCCTCTAGGAACATTATAATCACAAAAATGCTTAAATGTTCCTGCAGATGTTTTGCGTAGCTGATCCGCCTTATGACAAGTCACTCCAACAGCTGCAAAGCTTCTTATCTGGTTTAGTCGTGGAAGAGAAGTTGGAACTAAGAGATGGAATGTACTTTCTGGGGAAGTGAAAAGAGTGATGGAATTGATTTCATCCATTTGATCAAAAGCTACAAGTGAATAGCAATGTCGAGACCTCGTTTTGAAAGCTTTGCTGCGTGCACTCATACTGGGGAAAACTGGGGAGCAGAAAAGTAAAAAATTTCAATTTTGACAAGAAGCCGAATAGTTGTATTATTATGCTTTGATTGGAGTAGTTATTTATTTAATGTTGGTCAAGTATGAAATAGTGAAGATCAAAGATTTGAATGAGAGATGAACACGAAGAGTAGTGCATAGCATATTTTATATCAAATAATTTGGTAAATTACACTCACTTATGTACAAATAAATTATAAGCACTTGTTTGTTGATTAAAAAAGGTCTGGAGGGAGTTTCGTAATTTCAAAATATTTTTAGAATGGATTTGTAATATTTTAGACTATCACAAATGATCATATTTCTTCAGGAATGATTTTTTCTAGCCATGGAATTAAAGAAAATGTCTTGCGTACCTACAGAAGTATATAAATAGATGACTAATTTTAATTTTGATAAATAAAATGAAGATGATCAACATAACATATTTTGTTATGCGACTGGTTGTTTCATTGAGGTTCGAACCCCTTACCTCTCTTTGAGAAGTAGGGACTGGGTACCGCTAGGCCATTGGCCTATTGGTATGCAACTGTTATCTTTGTATAGTTTCACACTTCCAGGCCTTTGTGTAGTAACTCTAAAAAAGTTCCAGTGTAGGCTGAGTATAAAAGGGATTGGGTTGAGTCGAAGGGATACAAGGAGTGTAAGGTACCAAAAAAAAAAAAAATTGGGAAGTTCAGTGCATGATAATCCGAAAATTCATGCCCGCAAAATATGAAATTTCCTACTTGACTGAATTTTCGATGTTTTCTTTATTTCTCTGTGTTGTTATTAGTTGTATATATGGGAGAAAAGTGAGGGTCACAGAGGATTTCAAACATTCTTGGAGATCACAATTTTTTTTTGGTCTTAGAAATGTTAGTAGTTATTAGACGTAAAGATTCGAAACCAAACGCTGCCATACTCAAGAAAAGTCACCTACCAATGGACTATCGAGCCATCTGCCTTTAGAGATCACAAATTTATGTGATATGAATTTTGAAAAAGGGGTACAACCTATGAAATATCTAATTATAAGTACCCCTAATTTTCACAAATAGGGAGAACTTGAGTGCAGAAGTTAGTGGGAGAATTTTGTTGGATGAGCTCAATCATGGGCAAACAAGTCATTTATCATATGCATGAGGCTGCAGTTAAAAAAAGTGCTGTAGTGTACGGATGGGCAAGTATGTTCATTTGAAGAACTTGAGTACATAATATATTAATATGTGCTAAACATGCCTATTCAAGTATATATCATGTAACAATGCCATGATAATATGTGCTGAACATGTCTATTTCAGTGTAGAGGTGGGCAAGTTTGGTCATTTGAAGAACTTGAGTGGATTTGTATGATCTTGTTTGATTATTTTTTTTTTGAGACGTGGCTAATGACACTCGAAAAATTACCACACAAGATCTTGTTTGGTTTTCTAAATCACACCTGAAAAATAATTTTTTGAAGTTACCACACGAGCGTTTAATAATGAAAAATATGTAAGGTGTGTTGTATTATGTTTGTTACCCGAAATATAATTATTTGTAGATACCTACATTATGTTTATCATTTATAGAGGAATGTTCGTAGGGATGTCAATTTTTACCGCCCTGTCGGGGCCCCACCCCGTCCCGCCCCATTAATAACAGATATGGGAACACTTTTTATACCGTTGGGGCGGGTATGAATACAAATTTTGTACCCATCGCGGGTCACGGGGCGGGTAAGGGTTCAGTATACATATCCTAGGGGCCCCGCCCCGCCTCGCCCCTCCCCGCCCTGTTAAGCATATAATTATATTATATTATATATATATATATATATATGTAAACTTGGTATTAAATTTGCTCTTGTTTTGGTTATGGTGGAAGTTGGAGCTTAGAACTTTTTGTGATTTAGTTGTATTAAACTTTTATTTTTGTTTATTATGTTATCCGAATTATGTTATGTGCATGTTATTTTTTTTATTTTTGTTGGGATACATAATTTCATTTATGTTGTGCCATTCCCAAGCTTTCCACATTCAAATAGCAGGAGCTTAAGTTCCAAAAAGTGGGAGAAAAAAATTTGTTAGCGGAGCGGGCACGGGGACACAGTATTTCCCAACGGGGCGGGGCTGGACATGAAAATCCAACCCGTCGAGGGTCTTGGAGCGGGCATGGACTTGACAAAAATTAAAAGGGGCGGGGCAGGATTTAGGGAAACCCGCTCCAAACCCGCCCCGTTGCCATCCCTAAATGTTCAGAACAAAATAAATTCATGTGATTCCTACTAGATTAAGGTGGAATATTTTAAATAATTATCGATATTTGTGGAGTATTTTAGAATATTTTTGTTTGGGTTTAAAAGTTGCGATGAACTCAGATAATTATATGAGAGGGGACGACTTTGAACAACAATAATGTATGGTGGGGTATCATTAGAATTGAGTGGGGATATCTAAAATTTTTACAAAAAAATAAAGATATTTTTAAGATTTTCACAAAATCTATAGATAAATTTGTAAATAAAAAAAAATTCTTCATGGGTTCGTGCCTGTTTAAAAGGTGACAAATGCAGCGACCCACTCTACTACATAATATGATATTGTCCACTTTGGGCCTGAGCTCGCATGGTTTTACTCTTGTACTTTACCCCAAAATGCCTTATACCAATTGGAGTGACACAACTACATATAAGCACTTCACCTTTCTCTTACCTAGGCAATGTGGAATTGTGCACCCGTATCTCGCTTAGTGTGGTAGTCTGCCAGTGTCTCGCACCTGCCCACGACACACTTGTCCACAAGGTCATCACAATGCACCCCCTTTGGAGGCCCGACGTCCTTGTCGGCACACTTCCGGCTGGATCAGGCTCTAATACCATTTGTAACGACCCACTCCACCACATGATATGATATTGTCCGCTTTAAGCCTGAGCCTGCACGATTTTGCTCTAGGGTTTTACACCAAAAGGCCTCATGACCAAAAGCGGGCAACATCATATCATGTAGTGGAGTGGGTCGTTACATAAGTCGCGGGCAACATCATATCATGTAGTGGAGTGGGTCGTTACATAAGTCGCTGCAATTTGATTCAACATTTTAAACTTTTGAATCAATTAATAAGCAACTCTAAAATAAACAAAGGATAAAAAGTAAGTCGCTTTTTATAAAGGCCTAACGTTACCATCCTATATGTATTTAACCAATGTGGGACTATATTATCTATTTAAATGACAATGACAGACTTTTGACCTCTGCTATTTAATACATTATTTGGGTTACATTGCGTTACAATTGGAGATGCCTACATGGACTTCTTTATAGCAGATTGTGGAGTAGGGATGCACACGGTTCCGGTTCTCACGGTTCCGGTTGGAACCGGAACCGGAACCGTTCACGACGGTTCCTTGAAAATGGAACCGGAACCAGAACCATATGTGTATGGAACCGAACCGGAACCGAACCTACGGTTCCGGTTCGGTTCCACGGTTCTCACTGATTGTTTGCTCTTTTTTCCCTGTTGAAGGCTTTGAGCCTTTGAGTGTGTGTGTGTGTGTATATATGCAGGGCAAAACAATAACATAGAGAGTAGATATGCAAATTGAACACCCAACAGAAAAGATATTAGTCCTATTGAACATTCAAAAAAAAAAAAAATTGTAGGTAGCCGCGATGAGAAGATCTGAAGATGGTGTGTGGGCGTCGGCGACGGCGATGAGAAGTCTGAGATGGTGTGTGGGAGTCGGCGATAGCTGCGATGAGAAGAACTGAGGACTGAATCGACTGAGGGCTTGAGGAGGACTGAAGAATGAAGTTGAGATTTGAGGAGTCGGCGAGGCGAGGCGACGAACAGAGAGGAGTCAAGGACTGATGAGGCGAGGCAAGTCGAGAAGTGACGAGGCGAGCCGCTTCAGTGAAATTTCAGAATATAACCAAAGTTGAGATGAGACTTGAGAGCGATTTTAGAGGTTAGGTTTAGAACTGAGGACTGAATTTAGGTTGTGGACCACCACCACGTGATTTAATAATTCTAATTGATGAGTCATTGACTACTCTGTCAAGCACAAACATATATATCTTTACTTTTTTTAAAAGTATAAAATTAAATATATAATACATATATATATATATATATATATATATATATATATATATATACGGTTCCGGTTCTTACCGGTTCCCACGGGCTGGAACCGGTACCGTATGTCCACGGTTCCTAAATTTGGAACCGGAATCGGAACCGGAACCGTGAGAACCGGAAAAAACGGTTCCGGTTCTCACGGTTCCGGTTCCAGTTCCACGGTTCCGATTCTTTTGTGCACCCCTATTGTGGAGTGGTTCAGACAGCATTTTATTAAGAATTCTATCAGGTCTAAAATTCTAAGTGTTATATTTACAACAACTATTTGGAAAATTTGGATAGTAAATAATACAGTGTTGCATGATGGTGTTAAGGAGCAAATTTCCTATATTGGCTGGAGTATTGTGTTGGAGGTCTTTTCTTACCTCTCTCTTACTATGGAAGATTTTAGTCTTGTGTTTTCATGATTTTGAGTCCTTTGCTTTTTTCATTATTTACTGGAAGTGGGCTTTTTCTGGGCCTTGTTTTGTAAAAAGAAGTATGCCTCCTTATGCACTTGTACAATTTTAATTTATATATATATATATATATACCCCATTCAGGAGAGAGAAAAAAAAAAAAAAAAAAAAAAAAAAAAAGGGCCACCTTGTGCATGTAGAAGGGGCCGAATGAATCTTCATACGACTGGAACTTCAAAGAATTATGGGCATTTATTCTATAAATGTCTAGCTTAGGAGGTATAGAATCCTTTGAATGCCAATTTTTTTATACATACATATTATTGTCACAGGGGCATTATAATTATATACAAGTGTTTGATATTTTAGTCACATACTCGTGCATTTATATTGTTGGATGACAAGCACCAACGTGTGCAAGTGGGTGGTCATGTGGATCAAGAGTTGGAGGATGTAGTTGTTATGCAAGCTCAACAATATAGGCAAAACTACATTATCTATAGTGGTTGTTGTTGTCTTACTATAACTATATTATTTTTGTTATTGTTCATGTTGTTGTTGTTGGTTATTGTGGTTGTTGATAATAGTTCAATTTTACCTAAACACTTTTATTGTGGCTGCTGACAAATGATGTAATATTTATGTTTTGGCATGCTTAAGATGAGTTTTGGGAGTCAGACTACTCCTCTGGTGAGTTTGGTGTGTGTGTTTGAGAGAGAGACATGTAATGTGTAATATCTTGAAACTCATGTCTCTATAGGGACAAAAAGTTTGATAATAATTTGTTGACCAATTTTTTTCATAGTTTATTTCAGTTCGATATTGAAATAATGTCTTCTA